GAAAAAAGCCCAAATAGACTATTATGGGCCCTCTTCAAAATAAAGTAGGCAAATAAAAAATTATGGGCCCTCTTCAAAACAAAGTGGCCAAAAAGAAAGTTATAAGCCATTTTTCAAAACAAAAAGTTCAAACAAGATATTATGGGCCTTCTTTAAAATAAAATGGAAGAAACTAAAAAAAAAAAAAAAATGTAATCAATGCCTCCTTCTCCAAGTCTCCTTGGACATGGGGCATTGGGGGGCAAATGATGGGTTAAGCCCAAGTAGTCCAATTTATGTATTAAAGCCCAACCCCGGTTGAGGAGCCCAACCTCATCGTGAATCCACCAAGTCCAAGACAGACCAAGGCCGGTTAGACTTCTTGCTTAGCACGTCACCAAGAGGAGAGCACGGGAAGTTTATCTGCACCGCCTTAAGGAACTCAAGGTCGGTTAGACTTCTTGCTTAGCACGTCACCAAGAGGAGAGCACGGGAAGTTTATCTGCACCGCCTTAAGGAGCCCAAGGCCGGTTAGACTTCTTGCTTAGCACGTCACCAAGAGGAGAGCACGGGAAGTTTATCTGCACCGCCAAAGGAAACAGTCCAAATCCACCAAGTCCAAGACAGCCCAAGGCCGGTTAGACTTCTTGCTTAGCACGTCACCAAGAGGAGAGCACGGGAAGTTTATCTACACCGCCTTAGGGAGCCCAAGGCCGGTTGGACTTCTTGCTTAGCACGTCACCAAGAAGAGAGCACGAGAAGCTTATCAACGGTCCAATCTTTGACCACGTTTCCTTCAAGAGTTCCCCAAACTCTTCCTTCCGTTGAGGATAAGTCGTGATCTCCACCGAAGATAATCTCTAAGCTGCGATAAAGAAGCCTTGAGGATATGTCATGATCTCCACAAGAATGATCTCTTAACTACTATAAAATGGCTCTAATCCGGGAGAGAAAAAAGACATGCTCCATCAGAGACTTTCAGAAGACGAACCGACTACCGGAGATTATTGTTTTTCTTTGATTCTCCATTCCCCCTCTCAAAGCTTGTATCTCCGTTCTCCATACCTTTGAATCAATAAAATACCCGGCGACTGAAGCCATTGAAGAGTGGACGTAGGTCGAATTGACCGAACCACTATAAATTGTGTCTTCTTTAATTCTTTCGTTGATTTCATTGCATTTATTATCTATACTTGACAGGTGGTGTGCAAAACCATTTTTGTGCATCATCAAAAATTTCACAAAATTTTAAAAACCATTCACATAATGAAGCCCTATAACTAGTAATTTCTCAAATATCTAATATACAAGTAGAGCGAAGTTTAAAAGTATTTCAAGATAAATTTGAAATTGTTTACCTACCAAAAAGAAGTTCTTTGACCACATAATTCAAACTATATATGTAAAATTAACTACTCAAATCGAACCATCGTTTAGCCCACTAGGCCTAACAAAATAGCTCTATGAATCCCACGGAGGCTATTTGTCTAGTGGGCTACTCCGGGCCTGGCCCATTGACCAGGTGATTGATTGCCGTGGCCCATATTTTTTGACAATGCTTTCGAATTCCGATCGTCGGGCGGAGTCGACGCAAGTGACAAGTGCCACGGGTGAGCAATGAAAACAAAACATAACATAGGATCCTTTCTACATGCACATAGGTGCACAAACATTCGAGATGGAAGCCATGTGCACGTGTCATGACCATCCCCCCGTAATATCTGTTCCCATCTACCTTGTCGGAGACCTGGGAGACAATACAATCAATTGATCATGCATGCACCCGCACCACAAAAATTCAAATGAATTTTTTTTTTTAATTTTTTATTGAACGACGAAGAGTATTTAAATTAATTTATGTTTATTTTGATTTTTTTTTAGTTCAATCAAAGATATGTTATTTATATTAAAATTAAAAAATTTATAAAAAATAAATTTTTCATAGTTAATCCCAAGAGATTCTCATGATTTAAATTCATATGAAATTCAAAAACTTTATATCTTTGTCCTTTGATTTGAGATATTATGTTAACGGAGATATGGCGTAGATTCATTCAAGTTGTACTGAATATATTAGGAATAACTCGTACTTGAACGCACGGTGCAATATAAATAATTTGAAAGTGATGTTAATAGCTGTTTGATGAGTCTATTTGAAATCATCGGATAAATTTATTAAAATTTATTCTATTTTATGTTATAGATATTTGGTCATTTATAATTCAATATTTCTGATTAGGTGTTGCCTTCAGATCAATTTATTTACGACATGAGTCTAATTATTATTATTTATTTTTTTGGCTCTTCAAAAAAAAAAGGGTGAGATAAAGGACAGTGCCTAGAGGCCACTCAAATAGATCTTCACTGACGGGATCACGAAGCGCCTGACTGCTCCCGTTATTTTTTTCGAGAACAAACCTAACTAGTTTAATATAGTGATGAACCCCTAAACTCCAATATAAACTCTAAAATTCAAACTTTCAACCACAATATGAAAAGTTCAAAAGGTATTCCACTAAACCATTTCACTTGGCGGTGACATGAGTCTAGTTGGTCATCCTGATTATGATTCAAACTATCGAGGCTAAACCTATAACCTAGCAATTACGTGTTGAACTCTTGTTGGATTGACAAATTATGTTAATAATTATTAATTCTATTTAAGAAACAAAAAACAGTTAACTTATTTAAAAAAAAAAAAAACTTATTTGCCTAGTATTTAGAGAATAGGTTTCATCGGAAAAAATAAACATTTATTGTGTGTATAATTGTAAAATTTGAAATCATTTAATATTAAAACCAGGGAGTACATACATAAATCCAACACCGACAAGGCAACAAGGAAATTAAGATTAAAAGACAAAGACAAAACCAGTGAAGCACGTACATACATAAGTCCAAAAACCCAATAGACAAAACCATGTTTAATTACTGTAGGAATCTAAGTCACTTTCCTTGCGACATCCTTTGAAACCAGACAAAGACTTCAAATTAAAAAATCAGAAACAGGAAACATCCATGCTTCCACCATCACTGCCATACTTCTTTAAACAACCCTCAACCCATGGGCTGCATCTGCCTCCCAACCTACCTCTGCCCTTCTCCTTTCATCGGATACATCTTTGGGTTAGGTTATGAATATTTTTGTTCTGATATAAATGATTTGTTGTCTTTAATCAAATTAAAAAAAAAATTAATTGAAGTGCGTGTAGGATAGTTTGATAGCTAAAGTTATATTTTTTAACATCCATCCTTGATCGTTAATTGTTCCAAAGATAACAAATATCGGTACTTACCGGGTTCCAAACCAAGTCAAACGCCACCTTTCATCTATCTATAAGTACACTCTTCTCTTGATCACTCCATTCTCATCTGCATCCTTCCCTTTCTTCAGAGCTAGCTCTCTCATCATTTCATTCACAGTAGACTCTCTCTCTCTTTCGCTTTAGACACTCTCTCTGGACTGAATCTCTGTTCCAAATTCGAACTATGGCGTCTTTGAGTTCCCCATTTTGGGTCACAGATTCAAAACATGTAAACCCACTTTCAATGGAGCGAAGACAACCTCCACAAAGGCTGAAAGATTTCTTGACAGAAGACTCAATTCCAAGCTCGACCTTTCGTCGAACACCTTGCGGATCAACCATAAAAACCCTCCTCAATGTCGATCTCAACACCAATTATGTTGATGAAGCACCGTCCAAATTACTGAGAAGCCGATCAAAAGCAGCCGCGACGACAATCTCTGCTATCCACAAAGCTTCAGGAATCGTCATTAAAGCCGTTAAATTTCTCCCTTTCACATCTCCGTCAATTTTACACACAAGCATTTCACGCAGACTCACGAAACGGAACCCACAGGACAACAACAATGTTCCCGAGATCGGAGTCTCCGTTACGGTGAAGGACATTCTACGGTGGAGATCGTTCCGGGATTTGGTCGAGGAGGGACCTCCACCGTTGGATTTCTCATCCTCACCACTTCACTGCACCACCGCCACCACAACGACGGGGTCATCTTCTACTACTGCTACTACCAGTAAGAGCTCAAGCTGGTGCGATAGTGATTTTGCGGAATATTTACAGTCATGGCATGGTGTCTCCGATGAGTTCTCCGGTGAAGACAATGGTGAAGTGGGTAAGGAATTTTTACCCGACGGTGGAGCCGGCGATAGTTGTGGAGTGGCGACTAGAGGAACAGCCGTGGATTACAAGGTGAGTAATTAGATGAGATTAGATTGAATTTTGTGATTTGGAAATGATTTTAGCAACCCCCGATGCTTCTTTTAGCATTTTCGTTGTTAACTATTAGTGTCAAATACTTATTAAAATCACATATTACAGATAGACCAGCCATTGGACAAGAAAGAACAACACAGCCCAGTCTCAGTCCTTGATTCTCCATTTCAAGAAGACGAAGAATTGTGCTCATCTTTCCATCAAAGCCTTGCAAATATGGAGAGTATGTCCCTTCCTACCCTTTTGAATGTAGTTACTCCATTACTCTCTCTCCCTCTCTCTCTCTCACACACACACACACATTTCAAAAATGGGAGTGTAATTAAAATGCTTCAAATTTTGTTTTGAACAGGGAGAACATGTATGCTCATGCAAATGATCGAAGACTTCGAAAGTGCTGCCAAACTAGAGCCAGTAGACATAGAGAAACAGTTCTCCAACGAAGCAAACAGCGGATTTGAAGACAACGATGAAGAAGAAGAACAACAACAACAACGCAATGACGTGGCCACTGTGATGTGTGAGGAATATGAGGGATATTTTGAATGGGAAGTGGAGAGCAAGAGAGAAGCATATATCAAAGATATGGAGAGGGGAGTGAAGTGGAACAAGTTTGAAGAGGAGCAAGAAGAGTTGATCTTAAAGATGGAGAGTGAGGTGTTGAGTAATTTGGTAGATGACCTATTGGTTGATTTGTTCTATGGTTGATTACAGAACAGGGGTGAAGATGAAAGGATGTTCACCGGTTCAAAATTAACAAGCTCTAGTTGGGAAATTGATGATCAAAACCCCAAAAATGTGACAAATACAAAGGATTATTGGCATCAAGCATACATCTAAATGTGCCTCGACAAAGAGGTTTGATTGCATCTTGCAGTCATGAACAGGGTGACAAATTGGTCATCCTTGTGTAAGATAGGAAGTTAGGAACTAGCTTGATCCATAGGCCAAGGAGGCAACATATGACCTGCATTGACATGTATTGAGTTTCATTTCGGAAGTTTGTATGAAATTTTGGACATGTATATAAAGAATAACCTCAAATTAAGTGTACTTGGCTTGCCTCTTTAGGTGATTTCTCGTGATTATTACACTATGAATTGGTATGAAAATAATAATCAGAAGAGTATATTGAATCAACTATGGTCCTAGTTCTTGAATTGTTTGCGAGTGAAATGCCCCATTAATATTCCCTAAAGTTTCTCAATATTTACCCCTGTTTGGTTGGAAGAAAAATAAGGAGGATGGAAAATGGAGGAAGGAAAGTGGGAGGGAAGGAAAATCTTTCCATTATTTGGTATGGAGGGAAAATGGGAGGGAATGGAGCCCACCAAACATTTTTTCCCCAAAAATGGGCAGAAAATGGATTGAAATTGGAGGGAAGATGAGTTTTTTTGTGAATTGACTATTTTACCCACCATTCTCTTTAATTATATAATTTTTAGTATTTACCACATAATATAATTAGAACTTAACTTATTAAGTTTGTTTTTGTATATGTAATGGAAGATTTAATTATTAAATGTACATAATGAAAAAATACATATATTTTCTAGTTAGATACACATTAAATAATTAAATAATTTTTATCAGTAAATTTTATTTTTGATTTTATTTCAATAAATGATACAATAGAACATGAATTTTTGTTATAAAATTTGAAATATTTAATATTTTATCTTTGATTGAAATATTTTTAGTCTAAATATAATATTTTAAACTTAAAAAGGGTCTAAATATTATATACTTATAAACTTTAGAGGGTTTAAATATTATATACTCATAAAAAAAATCATGCATTTTGGTTTATTTTCTTTAATCTTATTCATGTAATTAGATGTGAGGGTATAGTTGTAAATTTAGTATATATATTTTTCCTTTCCATCCAATACCAAATAAAAGAAAATACATCCCTTTAATTTTTCATCCATCCTACAAAAACATAATGAGGGAAAATATATTCATTCCAATTTTCTATCTTTTCTAATTTTTCATCCTTCATACCAAATGGACTATTAATCTCTTGCTACGAATTTTAGTACATTTCATTATATCTAATTATTATATTCAAGTAGATATATATAGATAATTTATTATTAATGGGAAAAAATATAGTATTAATGAGAACTGTTCAAACAAGGACATGCCATAATTAGGCAATAATTGAGAACCCCTTTTTTTATGGGTTTAACGATTCTGGATCAACTTATTTATATTTTAATTAATCTCCTCTTCGATCTAATCAAAGACAGATCATTTAAGTCGAGCTTAGGATATTCATGAAGAATAAATTCTTATAATTTGATTACAAGGAATTGTCAAGATTTAAATTTAAAATATCTTAATTTACAATTATGTTATCATTTAAAATATCCCTTCAAACTAATAATTGATAACCTGTTGTATGTCTCATGGTAAAAATATTGTGTCCCATTCAAAAGAGATGCTTAATTTGGGACAAAGTGTGAGAGGTTCACAAATTGGGAAGGATGTACCCTATTATAATACTTCGATTTTTAATTTGTATCTTAAAATATTTTAAAAATTTATTTTTACTCTCAATATTATGGATTGATTGTAAAGTGGATCTCGTTTAGCCTGTCATTTAATTTTTTGTCATAAATTAAAGCACATGAGTTGTAAGTGCTTCAAGAATGAAGAGGAGGTGTGTCCATCATTGCAGATTTTCGCTTTGCGACCAATTTGACATTGTTTTATGTATCAAAAACAAAATTTTGTTAATCAATAGTGACTAAGTCTATCATATGCAACTCACATGAGACACCAAATATTTGTGAATTTATAAATAAACTCATGATCAAAGCACTTGCAACTCGTTTATTTCAATTTATAACGAAAAACTGAATGGTAGTTTGGACAAGGTCCACATTGGTATCAATTCGTAACATTGAGTGTATAAATTAAAATTTTTAATGTTTGAGGGTATAAATTAAGAATCAAAATATTTTTTGGGGTATAAAGTGACATTAGCCCAAACTATAAATACCCACAGAGTCTCGCGTCGAGACGATTCAATCTGAATCCACAGATCCCGCCACCGCCGCCGCCGCCGCCACCGTCAAGACACTCTCTCCCCCAAATTATTCTCCTCTTTCTACCGCATAACCCTTAGCTGTGATCATATTGATCCATCAAGAATCAGAGTACTCGGTGTTTGCGTTTGAGAAGAGTTCGCTCGAAGTTCTGATCTCTCAGGTTTGCTACTTCTGTACGTATATATACTTCCAGTCTCTGCAATCGATACACATAAGTTTAGTATTACCGAAATTGATCACCGTCAACGAAATCCGTTGACACATTTACGATGATGATCGGATCCCATTCCTTTAATTTTCGATGGTGGCTTTTTAGGGTTTTTCGTTTTAGGGATTTTTTATTTAGGGTTTCTGTAGTTCGGATTCTTTTAGGGTTACATTATTGCGTATATTGTTGCCGAAACAAAGTGGGAGGACTATCGGAAATGTATTTCGAACCGAAGGAATCAGCTACTGTAGACAAGGGTATTGATTGATGCATTGATTTGGGGTTTGTTCTGTGGGATTCATCAACCCCGTGACGATGGCGATCGGATCTGATTCTTCTGCTTATCCTTGCTGGCTCTTTATGCTTTCAATTTTAGGGTTTTGTTTATGTCTTGAACTTCTGGATTATTTTAGGGTTTTTCTGTTGCTGAGTTATAGTCGTTGGCGACAAGAGAAATATGATGTCCTCTCGGAATTTGGGGAAATCGGAGATAAGAGGTGTAGCTTGGAATTGGGTTGTTTTTGTGGATTTTCTTTGTAGAAGAAAGAGTTATATTGGTTTAGATCACTGATGTCTCTCTCCTACATCTTTATTGATTGAAGATCTACCTATGTTTTTGTATATATAGCATCATTATGGATATAAAGGCAAAAAGGGTGTCATTGTATAAGCGGCTTGGTGGACGACATCATGGTCATGGACATGCTATGAACAAAAACAAGGTCTGTTCCTTTTGGCTTGAGGGCAGATGCAGCAGGAACCCATGGAGCTTCTTACACCTGGACTTACAACCAGCCCCACAATCACATAAACAGTACCTTTTGGCACATGAAGATAGCAGTGTTCGGTCCAAATGGACTTGGAGTAGTCCAAAATACAATAGCTCCAAGAGTGCACTAAATGGTGAAGCTGCTTGTAAAGATAGTACTCAAGAGGCTCAACAAAAGGTCACAAAAATTGGAGAAGTTGAAGGTACATGTACTCAAATGACACAACAAAAGCTATGAAAGTTCTGGGTTATCGGTACTTGTGTCAGGGGTGACAGTTGTCGCTACTTGCATTCATGGTTTATTGGTAATGGGTTTACAATGTTGACAAAGTTAGAAGGAAACAATAAGGTACATGTTCATGTTTCGGTCTCTTGTATTGTGTTGTGTACACATATGTGCATATAGGTGGACATATAAAATAAATTACAGTTAATTTGTCATTTAACGGGAGTTTGATACTAGGCCGTCACTGGGATTGCCCTTCCATCTGGGTTTGACAAGCTCTTCTCAAGTAGCAATGACAAATCTGTCCGGCTTTGGGACTGCAATACTGGTCAGGTTGGTGTCTTTTGTTCTGATTATTTTCTTCGTGAATGGGTTCTCTTAAAATGATGGTGTACTTTATTGATGTGATTTTTTTTTTGTGTAATGCAGTGTACTGCTGTTTTTAACCTTGAGAACGCAATTGGTACTTTGATCACTGAAGGCCCATGGGTGTTTGTGGGATTGCCAAATGCTGTTAAGGTAGTCCTTTTGGACTTGAAAATATACATAGTTTTTTCATTGCCAAATGCCAAGTGGTACTGATTCAGGCTATTCCTCACATCATCCCTCTGTTGGTGGTATTTGCAGGCATGGAATATTCAGGCTGATGCTGAACTCACTCTAGATGGACCATCTGGGCAAGTTTATGCCTTGGTTGTGGGTAATGACATGCTGTTTGCTGGCACAGAGGTATCCATACTTAAAACTTTTGAATTGCTTCAAGTAATATTTATTTGTACAAAAAATTGGATGTTGATGCATTTAATATTTTTTTACCTCTTATTTGGCTGCAGGACGGCTCCATACTAGCCTGGAAATCCAGTTTTGAAACCAATTACCCTGAACTGGCTACATTGCTGAAGGGTCACAGCCGTGCTGTAATTTCCCTTGTTGTTGGAGTCAATAGGCTCTACTCAGGTTCCATGGACAAGACGATAAGAGTATGTTGCTGTTATTCTGTATTTCTGATATTTCCATACAGATGAAAATCAAAATCAATCTAGTCATTTACTTGAAAAGGAAAATTCAATCCTAGTCAATATTCCCGTCTATTGAGTGGAAGCCTTGTATACTACCAGATATGATTTAGTGTGTGCGAGTGTGTGTCCATAAAGCTCACTTGTTTCTACATGCTGGAATTATCATCATTGTGACATTTCTCGAGCCTTGTCTCTTGATGCTCTTGATTTCTTTAGTTCACGTAATAGGTGCACATTGTTCAGAGCCTCATTTTAGTGATCCTTGTCATTTGATGTGTGTTTGGACCACATTTTTTGGTTGCGAGTACAGTTTTTGTCAATTTAAATGAAGGAATTAAGAAGAAAATTTTGATGACAGAAGAGACAAACTTAAGAATTTTTTGTGGGCAATATGGTAGTCCAGAAATTGATTTTTAATTATCTCATTTCGGCAATTGTCCAATATGTTTTAGTTCTCAATTGGGCAAGGCCTTGTATATCAATTGTCTTTTTCTTTCTCCAGGTCTGGGACCTACAAACTTTTCAGTGCATTCAGACACTTAATGGTCATGCGGATGCTGTGATGTCTGTGCTTTGCTGGGATAGCTTCTTGTTATCTGGTTCCCTCGACAGTACAATAAAGGTTTGGGCCGCAACTGAAAGTGGGAACTTGGAAGTAGTATATGAACATAATGAAGAGCATGTAAGTAGTTTAACATCATTTTTTTCTTTTATTTATTTGCAGCTTACATTGTATTTATAACTGCTTGTATTTTTGGCAGGGAGTTCTTGCACTTTGTGGGATATACGATGCTGACGCCAAGCCTATTCTGCTTCGCTTATGTAATGACAATATTGTCCGCCTATATGACTTGCCAACGTGAGTATTGCACATTACTCTTTCATTTGACTAATTTTGTTAATAGTTATGCCTGCTGATTCACTTAAATCTCTGTCGGTTTTAGATTTATTGAAAGGGGAAGAATATTTTCAAAGTGGGAAGTTCGAGCTATTCAGATTGGTCCTGGGGGCCTATTTTTCACTGGAGATGCAACTGGGCAGCTCTTTGTCTGGAAATTGCTTGGGGAGACAAGTTTTCGCCTTCATGAAAATGTTTTTGTATAGAGAATTCCCTTGTAAATACACGAAACTTGTAGCGAAGGAGAAGTACAGGTGTAAAATTTCATTCGGCTTAGTGAAAGCAATTCATTTAAGAATATCAATGTTATTATTTGAAGTATTCTTTTCTGGACAGATACTGTCTGTAATGCATTCTGGGTATATTTTGGGATGAACTCACATTTATCCATTTGTTGTTTGTGGTTTGATTTATTTGCACATAATTGATTCCCCAATGAGTGAATCAGTTCATCCCGAGCGTTCATCAAACCTTAACCAAACGCGTATTGCCAGGTTCGACTCCCCACTCCTTATCGACATCCATAAAGCAATTACTCTGGTGTATAGCCCGCTTCAAGAGGTAGTGGTCCAAAGCTCTGGTAATCATGGGTGTAATGAGGATTGAAGAGGGTAAAAGATTTGCATGCTAATATTACCTGTGTGAAAATAGTTGTCTTTGAACTCGTTTCACAACATCATAGTTGTTCTTTATCATTGCATCAGGCTATGGTCTGAGTAGCTTCCTATGCTTCAAAGATAGACATATCACCTTTCGTTTTTCTTTTGAGTGATTAGGATTTCTTTAAGGGCCTAAGAGATCAGAAGTTTGAGTCTTCTAACCTTGTTATAGACAATTTCGGTAGTTGAAATAAGATATGACTTTCAAGCGATTAGTTCACTGGGTAAGGATGTTTAGATTTAAGTCTTTATAGCTATGGCAGCTGAGTGAGATAAAACTTATTTTTTAGTTCAAAAAGTACGATGTGAGATTTTAATTTCAATTTCAATGTAAATACAACTGAATTTTTTTATAGATGGTTGTGTAGTGCTAAAAAATAATAATACAATTAACTTTAAACGAATTTTTGTTGTTTTATGAGACATTAAAATGAAATTTCTTTCAAAACCCATCTTTTAAACGCCCAAGACAATGAAATTTCCCTCTGTGGCTTCTCTAAATGGAGCAAATTACCCTTTTAAAATTACAAAACCTAACCAATGTATTCGAATATATTGAATTAAATCACCTCTAATACATTTCTTTTTTTAATTTTTTTTTGGTACATCATTTATCACTAATGAGCACAAGACCCTCTATATATACAAGGAGTTTTACCTAAATTCATAATAGATAATCTGTCAATAATAAAATTAAAAAAAAAAATTTGGAGAGAATCTCACTCCCGAGTATAGTGATAATCTCATAATATCAAAAAGTAACTCTTTTAATATTGAATACTGTTATTTAAATTTAAAATTTTAACCTAATTTATTAACATAATAATATAATTTTATTGGAAGCAATAAATCAAAAACAAACTATAATGTTTAATGGGGGCAAAATAGAAGAAAAAAAGAAAATTCACATCTCCGCCTATTCCATCCATCTTTTGATCTCTACTTTTGTCGCTGTACAAACTCATCCCCCACATTCTCTCCCTCTCTCTCTCTTCATCCCTTCTGGGTTTTATGTAATTCTTCGTATATAGAGAGAGGGGGTTTTATGTAATTCTGCATATATAGATATAATATGTATATATATATATATATATATATATATATAAAAATAACTTATGATTCAAATTTCAAATATAAACAAAATGACTTTTGTTATTTATGGTTGAGATCATTTTAAATTTAACTTAAAGTTAATCTAATAGTTAATACTAACACCCTAAATTTAATAAAAAAAATAAGTTTCTAAGAGTGTGTTTTGAATTTAGAATGATTTTTTAAAATTACTTTTAAAAATTATTTTTTATAAATATTTTAAAAAAATTAGTATTTGAAACCGCTCCACCACTATTACCACCACCGTCACTACTGTAGCCACCACCACCACCGTTGTCGCTGCTATCATCACCGACTCCTACTACCACTATTGATGTCCATCATCTCTCGCCCCTATTATAATTTGATACTGAAATTCTTTTTTTTTTTCGCTGTATTTGTGATTTAATTTTGAATTTAAATATAAATATGTTTATTATTTATTATTTTTTATTTTTTATTATTTTGTAACTTCAACTACTATGTGTGTATATATATATATATAGAGAGAGAGAGAGAGAGAGAGAGAGAGAGAGAGAGAGAGAGGGGGAGAGGTGTTTGTGTTCATTGATGGCTTCGAATCAGGACTTACCGGAGGGAACAGTGCAGAACATACTGGACCAAGAAAGTTTGAAGTGGGTCTTCGTTGGAGGTAAAGGGGGTGTGGGCAAGACAACATGTAGCTCAATATTATCGATCATTCTCTCTGGGGTTCGATCCTCTGTACTCATCATCTCCACCGACCCCGCTCACAATCTCAGCGATGCTTTTCAGCAGCGTTTCACCAAAACACCTACTTTGGTCAATGGCTTCACCAATTTGTACGCCATGGTATTGCAATTGCTCTACATGTTTGTTGATTTCTGAGCTTCGGATTGGGTTTTTTGGGTTGATGGGTGTCGCATTTTCATGAATTTTAGCCGAAGTTTTTCATATTTTGAACTGTGATGTCTTTTATTATTGACTGAATTCGGGTTTTCGACGTACTAGAGAGATTTTTAATCGGAACGCTTGTTTCTTTCTAGTCAAACTGTATTGAATAAATCTAGAACACACCACTGCATAATGTATGTGCATTCATGTGCGATTTTAGTTGTATGTAATTATGGAGTGAACTTACTTTCATCTATAGTTCCATGTTCGTAGTATGTTGTTATATTGTCTATAACATAAGGATCGAGCTCCAGTACCCTGTTGATATTTTTGCTTTTGATTCGATTCTAAAATTTGTTTGTGATATTTTACATGTAGCAAATTTGTACATTTGGCAGTCTATGGATTGATATACCCCACAATTTTGGCATCTAGATTACCACATTCAATTGGTCAAATGGTAATCCTTGCCTTGTGATGATTTTAGCTTCTTCAGATCAAGGATTCAAGCCCTCTTATCCCTCCTCCCAAAAAAAAAATAATTGAAAAAAAAAAAATCATTTGAAAGAATGTCATAGTTCAACCCAATGTTTTGTGGATCCTGTATCGTCCCATACGCAGAACCAAAATGGGAGTCTGCGGAAAAGGAATGGGAGCACGGTGTGCCACTTACTCTAGAATGTTGTGTGGTAAGGTTAGGTTTATATAGATCACATAAATATGGTGAGGTGTAAATGTGTAATGTTTTTTCCCCAAAAGGAAAAGAAAGATGACTAATGCAATCTATGTTGAGCCATAGATGTGGGTACTATGGCTGCTTTATTCAGCTTCCTTTTAAATTTTAGTTCAGTTTCTGCCCACAAAGAAGTAAAAATCTGTCTGCTCGCCATACTTAGTGTTCTAGACTGAAAGTGTGGCAGATCTCGGAATTTTGGTAGCATATTGCAATTTGCTGAGGTATTTGTGATTTCCGGTAACTGTACTTCCCCATCGAAGTATGACTATGCTTGTATGATTCATCTTTGTGTAAGTAAAAACCGTGTGGTGCTTGTTTCAATTCATTACAACTTGATTATTTAATTGTCTGTACCCTGTCCAATCATTTAGTGTGATGCTATGGTTGAAGTTTTTGGTTCTATAGGAGGTGGATCCCACAGTGGAGAATGAAGAAACGCTTGGTTCAGATGGTTCGGATGGTTTTTTGTCTGAGCTAGCAAATGCGATTCCTGGTATTGATGAGGCTATGAGCTTTGCCGAGATGCTGAAGTAAGCATCATGTTTCAGATCTTTACCGTGTTATAGATTGTGATAATATGTAGTTATTTTTGGGGAATTGTTAAGGTAAGAAGAATTTCCAGTTTACTTTATGATGATATTGGATGTGAAAATATGTATTCACCAATGAGATTTTAGGTGAAATTTTGAAGTTATCTGATTGGTCAATTTGTAGTGGAATTTTGTGAAGAATTGGTTTTTATGTCCATTTATACGAGGTCGGAGAAGGTTTCGGTTGTCAGTTAGATAGCTCAGTACTACTACTTTTAAGCTTGTGACATATTAAGTTGATAATTATTTTGTGCATTAAAATACCAAATATAGTTTTTCTTAAATTTAGACTAATGATTTTTGTCTGGACTCTTGGTATGATTTTCGTGGTTTTGCTATGTTAAGACAAGTGGATATGCCAGCATAGTTTTTAGTTTGCTTTTGGTAGGATAGTAATTTCAATTTCTAAGTATCAATGAAAATTGTCTTCCCTCTCTTGATTTCAAGATCTTCCATATTGAGATATTCTATGATATGGCGAATAGAAAGATCTTTGTTTTCCTGAGGATATTGACATTAGAACTTGAATGCAATTAATCTTTGTGAGGTAATGTTGTTATGGTGTGTATAATACCTTCTTACAAAGTCATGGTAAATCCGTTGCCTAAATCTATCTTATGTCTGTGTGTCATTTATCAATCTAATTTTCTTTTTCTTTACCCAATGTTCTTCCTGCAGATTGGTTCAAACAATGGATTATTCTGTAATAGTGTTTGATACAGCTCCTACTGGTCATACGCTCCGGCTATTACAATTTCCATCAACATTAGAGAAGGGTCTCAACAAAATGATGTCAATGAAGAATAAATTTGGTGGCTTGTTGGGTCAGGTATATACAAACATATATCTAAAGTCGAAGAAGAGTATGAACATCATTAGACTTTCATGCTCAAAAACCAAGCTTATTCATTGAAGAACTGAATTGCAGGCTTGTAGCTCATATTTCTGAATATAGTTGGTCTATGATACTATTTTTTTTTGGCTGATTTGTGGGTATATTTCATTCCATAACCATGTGTCGTGTACGCAAATAATGTTCATTTATAGATTCAGGGGAGATGATTATTGATTATGTATTTGAATTTGCCGTCGCTCTTGAAATTTGTTAAGATTTTGGGACAAACCAACATGGCATGTTAGACATAGTGGTGCACTTGGGATGAGATGAGGGCTAAATCCGGGCTCAATTTGAGATACCAAACCGTTAACCCGAGCTCAACTCAACCTGAACATATCAACCCAAGTCCAATTTGTGATTAGATTTTTGAACTCAATTTATGGAATTCAGAGAAGAAGTTGGATTTATACAGAGAGAGTACCTTAGAAGCTTCAGATCAGAAGAGGGCTGTGAGACTGGAGTCTTCAAAACCCCACCACACTAACTTGCTGCTTATTTCACTGAATCAACAGTGACAAATAACCATAACCTAAACGATGTATGCACTAACCAAAACAACCATACTAACATGTTCCATTGCCACATCTCAAGCATATCAATAGCCCAAAGCACATTTAATAACAAAACTAGAGTACAGAATACGAGAATGAAGGGACAAAATTGCACATGGGGTCCATGATCTGGAAACTAAGATTTTTGGGCCATTGGAAGATAGACTTAGGTCCTAAAAGTCAAGCGTGATTATGGTGTTGGTGTTTCAAAGGTTTTACTGAGTGAATGAGAAACGACAGAGTGTGACACAAGAGAGGAGGTGGAAACTTACTAGCTTAGGTCTAAATGCCAAGGTTTTGATTAAGACAAAGGACATGAAGCGAGGGCAATGCCTAGTGGGAAAAGAAAATGCTAATGCATGTTACATATAATTGGGTTCAACTCAATTGGGTTAGGTACACTCAAGTATTGTTTGAATTTAAGTCGGATCGAGAGTTTGTTTTTGCCCAAGCCTAATCCGAGTATTGTGCATCTCTGTCCAAGCATTAGTCTTTTCAGGTTGACCTGCCCAAATTCCATCCCTTGTGTCACTTTGACTATGTCCTCTGTTATGGCCATAATATTATAGCCGAAAGGGTATAGTCCCTCGTTCTAAACTCACTTTTGTATATTATACATGAAATAATGCACTTTGATGGACACAAACTATAAAAGATATCGCCCGCACCGGGGGAAGGAGGGTGGGGAGGTGTTTGTGGAGTGCACGTGCACCTCTAAAATTATCCTTAAGATCAACACCTCTTTTTGGTTCTGTCAGCTAAATTTGGGGATACTCGCTTTAATGTATTGTTCACGGAAGATTCTATAACAAATTCTCAATGCTCCCCTAGTCCATTAGGTATTGATGGTCATATTTATATTGAAATCAAAGAGCTGACGTGGTGCCACTAATAGTGTTTTGGCTTGATCTCTCTTGCTTTTGCTAGATGGACCATCTAAAATATATGAGGCCAATTATATACAGACATGTGCATTTTGCTTGTAAGCTTGTAGATTTCTCATATGTCTATAGTATCTCTTTGTCAGTTACCCATAATGTGGCTAATAGTGATGGTAAATTTTCCTGGCAGATGACTAGTCTCTTGGGTGTTTCTGATGAATTTAATGAGGATGCAATCTTCGGAAAGGTTAAGGGCTTGAAAGATGTGATTGAACAGGTGAACAAGCAGTTTAAAGACCCGGTAAGATCTTATATTCAAGAAGTGCATTTTTAAAGAAGAGTATTAAGAATATTAGGGTAGTATATATAAATTGTTAATAGTAAGAGGGTGTATGTGTAATTCTTATTATTGTGAGTTAACTATAAATATAAGTGTTGTTTGAGAGCTAGGTTAGGTTGTTAACCTCTCTCTTTCTCCCTAAATATTGTCTCTAATATTGTGTTAATCTTTCAAACTTAATATGGTATCAGAGCAATTACAATCATAAATATATATTTTGAATAAATTTTGTTCGTAGAGGTGTTACTGTTGCTACTGTTGTGGTGGTGTTGATACTGGCTGTGGTGGTACTGCGTTTAACGGAATTCTGTTGTGGTGGTGTTGGTGTTGGTGGTGGTGGTCTGTTGCGGTGGTACTGTGTTTTCCGAAGTTCGGTGTGTGTTGGTGGTGGTCCTGTGTTTGCTGACATTCGGTTTGTCTCGGTTTGTGTTGTCTGTGGTCAGTTGTGGTATTGCTCAGTCGACGAGCTTAGTGGTGGTGGTGTGGCTGTTGAGGCGCAGTCAGCACATAAGAGGGTTTTCTGCCACCCTAATCAACGAAGAAGAAACAGCCGTGACCCGATCCATTTCGGGTCAACCCAAATCTGATCCAACCCCAGTTGGTTTCAGTTCAGCCCAATTTCAGTGGTTCAGACCAGTTCAGATAGTTTTGATTCGGGTTCAGAGGTTTAGAGAGTCAAACTAACCCGGTTCAGTGATCCAACAAGCCAAACCGGCCCAGTTCAGTGCTCTAGCACGCCAAACTAGCCTGGTTTAGTGATCCAGCAAGTCAAACCGGCCCAGTTTAGCGGTCCAACTAGCTTTTCCAGCCCAGTTCAGTGATCCAATAGCCTTTTCTGGTCCGGTTCAGCAGTCCAGTACCTTTTTCTGGTCCGATTCAGCGGGTTAGTGTACTTTTCAGATTCGATTCAGCATTCCAGAGAGATTCTCCAGCGCGGTTTGGTGATCCAACAATCTTTTCCTCTTCGGTTCAGTAGTGTAGTAGGTGATTCTTGTCCGGTTCAGTGATCTAGTGATTTTCTTTTTCTATTTGCTATACTTATAAAATTCAAGCAAGACACTGGGTTGGTTACTATTACACGAGAGAAATATGCTCAGTTCCTGTCCCAGCAACAGGCTGTCCCATCTCCCTCCACTGCTACTTTTGCTCAGTCAGGTATTGCTTCCACTTGTTTATTGTCCTCCACTCGTAGTCCCTGAATCATAGCTCTGGCGCTTCTGACCACATGACTGGTTCGTCTAATGTTTTTTCTACTTATCAGCCTGTTACTTCCACACATAGTGTTACTTTTGCTAATGGTACTTGTTCTAAAGTTTCAGGTCTAGGGACTACTCACTTGAGTTCTGATATGTCCCTATCTTCCGTGTTATTTGTTCCTCAGTTTCCTTTTAGTTTACTTTCTATTAGTAAGATTATCCGTTCTCTGAATTGTTCCATAACCTTTTATCCCTCTTATTGTGTCTTTCAGGATCTCAAGACTAAGAGGAAGATTGGTACGGGGCATGAAGTTGATAGCCTATATTATCTTGACTTTGATTCACCTACCCAGGCCCCACAGACCACGTTGTCTCCTTTTCAATGGCATTGTTGTCTTGGTTATCCCTCTCTCTAGAATCTAAAGTGCCAAGTTCCTAGCCTTAGCTATGTGTCGTCTTTGTCTTGTGAAGCTTGTCAACTTAGTAAGCATCACCGTGTGTCTTTTCAATCTAGAGTCAATAATCATGTGTCTAGTCCATTTGAATTAGTACATTCTGATGTATGGGGTCCCATAAAGAATATTTCATCTAATAAATACCCTTATTTTGTGACATTTGTGAATGACTATTCTCGTGTGACTTGATTGTTTTTGATGAAAGCTCGGTCTGAATTGTTTTCTATATTTGAGACCTTTCGTAAGGAAATAAAAATTCAGTATAGTTGTCGTATACATATTTTACATTCTGATAATGCTCGAAAATATGAATCTGATCTTTTTTCAACTTATCTTAGTAAAACTGGCATTATTCATCAAATTTCTTGTGCTTACACTTCTGCACAGAATGGTGTTGCTGAACGCAAGAATCGTCATTTGTTGGAAGTCACTCCTGCCCTGTTATTCCAGATGAATATTCTCCAATATTTTTGGAGTGATGCTGTTCTTACTGCTTGTCACTTTATTAATCATATGTCATCCTCTGTGTTAAATGGGCAAAGCTCATATTCTATTTTTTTCCTGGTAAGCACTTATTTTTCCCGACTCTTAAGGTTTTTGGATGTGTCTGTTATGTTCACAATTTGGGTCCTGGATTCGACAAACTTTACTCTCGAGCTACCAAATGTGTATTTCTTAGTTACTTCCACACGCAGAAGCGGTATCGTTGCTACAATCCTTCTCTATACCGATATTTTACTAGTGCCGATGTCACGTTTGAGAAATCTGTTCCATATTTTTCAGCACCTTCTTAGCCTTTGGATTTGGACTTTGAGTCATCTCCTATACCATTATCTCTTTACTTATCTTCAGATATTCCACTGTCCACTGTGTTACCATCTACTTTACCTCTTCGTGTCTACTCTCGTCGTCCTCGCCCATTAACTGAGGTGCCCGTTCCGTCTTCCTTGCCGTCTTCTGATCCTGGTACATCAGGTAATTTAGACTCTTTACCTATTGCTCTTCGGAAAGGTATTCGTTCATGTGTTACTAATCATTCCATTGCTCATTTTATTTCATATGATGCCTTGTCTCCTCCCTTCTCTTGTTTTACTTCTAAATTATTTACTATATCTAGTCCTAGGCATTTACAGGATGCATTATCTAATCCGGGTTGGAGGAAAGCTATGGAAGAGGAGATGAATGTTTTACATCATAACGGGACTTGGGATCTCGTTCCTTTACCTCCTAGTAAACGAACTGTTGGTTGTCGTTGGGTGTATGCTGTTAAATTTCATCCAAATAGTTCTGTGAAGCGTCTCAAAGCCAAACTTGTTGCAAAGAGCTTTATTCAGACTTATGGTGTTGATTGTGAGGAGACTTTATCTCCTGTTGCCAAAATTTCTTCAGTTCGTATTTTGATTTCTTTGGCTGCTAATCTTGATTGGCCCTTGTTTCAGTTAGATATCAAGAATGCCTTCCTACATGGTGACTTGGTTGAAGAGGTATACATGGAGCAGCCACCTGGGTTTACTGCTCAGGGGGAGTATGGTAAGAGTGTATGTCGGTTAAAGAAATCTTTGTATGGTTTGAAGCAATCACTGAGGGCATGATTTGGTAAGTTTTCAGATTCAGTTTTAGACTTTGGTCTTCTTCAATGTCAGACAAATCATTCTGTATTTCATAAACAAACAGATGTTGGATATGTTCTGTTGGTGGTCTATGTAGATGATATTATGATTATTGAAAATGATTCTGAGGAGATTGTCAAGTTAAAAATATTCTTGCAGGATCGATTTCATATTAAAGATTTGAGAAAATTTAGGTATTTCTTGGGTATTAAGGTGACTCGATCTAAACAGGGTATTTGTTTATCCTAGAGGAAATATGTAATTGACATGCTAGAGGAAGCAGGTTTGCTGGGTGGCAGACCTATTGCTGTTCCTATGGATCTGAATCAGAAACTTTTGATGGATGACGGTGCACTGTTTGAGAATCCGGGTCGGTATCGCAGATTGGTTTGGAAGCTCAATTATCTCACTATTACTCGACTGGATATTTTCTATGCAGTCAGTATAGTAAGTCAATTCATGAGGTGTCCTAGAGTACCACATTGGGAAACAGTTACTCGTATTCTACGATATCTCAAACAAGCTCCTGGATTTGGATTGTTATATCGAGCTAATGGACATCTCAGAGTGGAAGGTTTCTCAGATGCTGATTGGGCTGGCTCTCAAGATCAACCATTAGTTATTTTACTTTCTTAGGAGGTAACGTTGTCTCATGTAAGAGTAAGAAACAATCCGTGGACGCAAGATCCAGTGCTGAGGCTGAATATAGGGCAATGACGCATACAACGAGTGAGTTGACTTAGCTACTACACTTCCTCCAGGAAATTGGGTTTCCAATTCAACTTCCTTTACAGTTGTTCTGTGATCCAGACAGCTATCCATATCGTTGTCAATCCGGTGTTTCACGAGAGAACCAAGCATATTGAGGTTGATTGTCATTTTATTCGGGACAAGATAGCAGGTGGAGAGATTACAACTCTATTTGTGAAATCTGAAGATCAGCTTGTAGATATGTTTACCAAAGTATTGAGTCGTACACGTCTTACAGCGATTTGTTCCAACCTTGAATTATATGATATATATAGTTCAGCTTGAGGGGGAGTGTTAAGAATATTAGGGTAGTATATGTAAATTGTTAATAGTAAAAAGGTGTATGTGTAATTCTTATTATTGTAAGTTAACTATAAATATAAGTGTTGTATGAGAGTTAGGTTAGGTTGTTAACCTCTCTTTTTCTCCCTAAACATTGTCTCTAATATTGTGTTAATCTTCCATATTTAACAAAGAGAACCATTTGTTAATCCCCGTTTGCTGGATGGCAAATGGCTGTGGAGTACACTTAACAATAATTGAAAAGGTGGGAACTGAATGCAAGATCGCCATAATTTAGATAATTTTGGGAGAAGACCGGAACCTGCTTAGCAATCTCTGGGGTATGTAGACTAGAAAGCTTGGAAATATCATCAAAGGTGTGCGAACTGTTGTCATCGGAACAGTAATGAGTGCAAAAAGCTAAAAGGAGCAAATGAAAATGGGATATTGAGGATCCAATAATGTTGCAGTAGCAGAGAAGCAGAGTAGGGAGCAGAAGGGAAGTAGTACCGGGTAGATGCAATATGTGAATATTTCAAAAGCTGTTGCTATTAGCAGTTGTGTAGAAACTAGAAATTTGGAAGCACCTAGGAGACTACCACTTAGTATGTAAAGGCTTAGCAGTAAGTCGTATATATGTAAAGCAATGCCCCAATCCCCAATCCCCTCTCCCCAACTCTCCTAAAACACAAAAGAAACCAAGCTACATGCTTGGAGTCGGACTTGGTGAAATGAGGTTTTTGAGTTATACTAAGCCCATCATATTCCATTACCAGAATCTTGATGTTGTAACCTTGGACCATTCAATTGATGACAAGTAATTGTGGGTCTATTTATACAAAGTGCTAATGCAACTACAATAAGTAGGCCCTTGATTGCTTTCATTTCCTTCCTTTCAGTCCTCATATGGACATTCTTAGCACACAAAAAAGAGTCCTCATATGGACATGAAAATTATATAATAGTAATTTGACTGCTAAAAGAGGAGCATCATTATAAGCAGTGTATTACATGAAAGACGAAGGAAATCAGATTTAACTCCCCCTCCCCCTACCCCCCAAAAAATGAAAAAACAGCAAATTGAGCTTCTATATGATACCAACAACGGTTCATGGCAGGTCTTCTATGTTTTATAGGAATTGTCCTTCTGAGCCACTCGATATTTTGTGCATCTTAATTGGATGGCCTGCCAAATTCTTATTCTTATGCACCCATATTTCTTTTGACAGGACTTGACAACCTTCGTTTGTGTATGCATCCCAGAGTTCCTCTCTCTATACGAAACGGAGAGACTGGTGCAAGAACTCACTAAATTTGAGATAGATACACATAATATTATTATCAATCAAGTACTTTTTGATGACGAAGGTAACTTCCCTGTTCATTGCATT